CTCTCTCTCTCTCTCTCTCTCTCTCTCTCTCTCTCTCCTGTGTATATACGAAGATCCCAAAGGACCATGGGTTCCCATAATGAATTATATATATGAAGATTCCTGATTTTCCATAATACATGATAGGCATAGTACTTCAAGATATGTATCAAAATCCAATCAAACAACAACTTGATGTACCTTGAGTTGATGGGACTGGTCGCAATAGTCCTGCCGCCAAATTCAGGGTCAAGAACCTTGGGACTGAGATGACCAAATCCAATATGATGGTGGGGATCCACCCCATCTTCACTATCAACAGAGCAATCACTGGAAATGGATGCAGTCCCTATACCACCATCAACATCTGAAGCATCAGGCCTATTCAAAATCCTCTCAGGCAGAGGAAGAGGCAAGCAAGAGATGGTCTTTCCACATTTGCTACGAACTGATTGTGAAACACTGATTCCTGATTCTGTGCGACTTATTAATGAAGATTTCACAGAAGGAAGTGGAAGTGGCTGAGCATGTGGCCTCTCTGCAAAACTTTGACACCTAGATACTTGTGTTGAAGGGGATGGAGACCTCGATTGAGCTCGGGATCCAGAGCCCCTTTCTGAAGTTGTGTCAATACTACGCCTACGAGAGCCTCTGCTAGATCTGAAACTTCCCTTTTCATCAGATGGAGTCCTCAATTTACGAAAAAGCAAAGAATCAAATAAATCCTTGCTTGATTTCTTCTTAACCTCTTTGGAAGAAGATCTGCCCCACCATGAAGGCATACTGAAATTATCCAACTAAATATATTTTCTTAATGTTAACACACAAGTTACCATACAAATGATGCCTCAGTAGTTTCCTTCACCACAAGCTCCTTTGGTCAACCACCAAAGTCCAATTTTCTCTCTATCTCTTTAATTAAGTCAATTCTAGTCCACAACCCCATAGAAATATCATCACATACACCAATCATGCCAAGATTACAGAGCAAGAAGGACTAGACATTAATGCCAGCTCTTCCCAAACATATGTACATGCTGGTCACATGGACAGACGCCACTAAAAAGTGGGAGTTCCAAGTAGGAAGTCTGCTCATCATGGAACAGTTTATAACCGAGATTCTATCCAGTTGTTGATAAGAAAAATTGCAATGGATTGACCTGCAAGTCGACATTGCAAAAACATTTCAAAAAGTTGATGAATACTGATAATAAATCATAAATAAACAGCACATGGTATTGACCAAAAGAATGTAGTTTCTGCATATACAGCATGTAGTATGGCCAGAAGAATGTAGTTTCTGCATACATTCAAGAAGACACTTCTGGAATACGCAATAACACAAACAGCATATTTGCATGCTGGATTTAAAAAGTCCCATTCATAAGATAAGGATGAAATAATTATTTTTGATACTCGAAGTGCCATCAAGTTAGCCGGAAAAACATCTGCAAAACACAACAACCAACAAGCCACAGTTTCTTTCCTATGGGATAGAACCAACTGCCAACAAGAAAAAAAATATATATGGCAGAATCACAGAATCAACAAATGCCATCTCCCAATGATGATGATGATGATGATGATGATGACGATGACGATGATGAAAGCCACAACTCCAATGATAATGATGATCAATACATAATCAAATCAGACACAGTGGTAGTTGGCTTCCCTAATTTGGTGGTTCCTAGAGAGGGGTGGTCAAGGGTTTTAGGATTTTAAAGTTCAATTAGGCGCTGATGAGCACATTGAACTACCCATGTGGCTGACAGCCCTCACAGCCCAGGCACAAGTAACAATGCAATTATATCTTATTTGATGAGAAGTTACAATATAAAATCAATAGATAACGTCATTGAATTATAACAACTAAGACAATGATAATGATGACAAACACATAAACAAAAAAAGACTGATTCAAGAGAGGAAGGAGAAAACAGACAGGACTTATTCTATAAACATTGCACAGACTAATCCTTAAAGCTCAAATTGGAAAAAACGGCTCATTTGGAAAAAAAAAAGGGCACAAAGCATTGTCCAATTCTATCACTTCTTGATTCAGCCAAAAAAATATATATTTAAATAAAAAACTCATGAATTCAAGACTTGAGAATCAGAACCCTATGAGTCAGAAATCAGTGAGCACCATTATCAATTATAAGAAGAGAATAAAGTACATCTAAAAATAAGGGTCCTAAACAATTTTCCCCTGGAAATTCACTAATAAATTCACGACTAGAATCCGTATTTTCTCAGGTACAACGATAATCAAGCTACAATAAATTACACACATGTCATGGTTTTGCAAATTTATTTACAAACATTATGAAGTTCAGAATTCCACACTGATAAAAATCTTTGCTGACAAACTTTCACAATGCATCAAATTTAAACACCTCTCAATTGGTCAGTTACTGCATCAAATCTATTCTGCTTAGAAACAAAACAGAATCACCTCAACTTAAATATATAATATATGAACCCTAAATCATAGATGAAATCAGTATTTTATCAGGTTCATAACTACAACCAAATTCCTAGATATTGCATAGAACTAAAATCATTGTAACATAAGAAAATGTCAGTTTTGAGTCACCTCAAGTGTAAATTGGAGAAAAGCATAATCAGCTAAAAACAACACATAAAATGTAAAACCATGGATGGAATCAGTATTTTATCAGGTTCATAACTACAACCAGTTCCTAGATATTAAATAGAGCTATAATCATTGTAACGTAAGAAAATGTCAGTTTTGAGTCACCTCAAATGTAAATTGGAAAAAAGCATCTGCTAAAACAACACATAAAATGTAATACATTCTAATTAATTTTTTCATGGGTTTCTGCACCTTAGTCACAAATCAGAACATGATAGCAAGTTCAAAACCCTCGTTAGTAAAGCATCCCTACTGCATCCGAAATTCAACAGCACAAATCATAGACGCTCTCTCTCTCTCTTC